CTTAACGGGATTGAGGTTGACCCGACAAAATAAAAGTCATTCAGGATATGGAACTTGCCAAAAAACAGAACATCAGTTGAGAAGCTTCCTGGGAAAATTCAGTATACTCAGCCAGGTTTATTTCTAGGCTATTTCATCACTTGTGCTCCGATCTTCAAGGCTACTTAAGAAAGAAATCAACCATTTAAATGGAATGAGGACTGCCAGAAAGCCTTTGATCACATAAAGAAGTATTTGATGCAATTCCACCAGTGCTGAGTTCGCCTGTTAGACCAGGAGAAACCTTTGAATCCTGTATTTGTCTATTAGAAGATGCAGGAGTTGGAAGCTATGTTGGCACAGCCCGGCGCTTCTGGAGGAGTAGAAAAGGCCATCTATTACCTCAGCAAGAAATTACTGCCTATCGAGGAAAAGTTCGAGGAAAAGTACAATTTGGTGGAGAAAACGTGTATGGCAGTGGTATGGTCGATAAAGAAATTGAGGCCTTACTTTGATTCTTTTAGGGTCACTTTCATTTCCAAAATTGATCCTATGAGGTATCTCCAGAGAACGCCTACTCTAAAAGGACGGCTGTCCAAATGGCTAATTCAGATGTCTAGTGTGGATGCAGAGTTTGTCACGAAGAAGACAGTCAAGGCCGAGTTATGGCAGAATTCCTGGCAGAGAATCCGATTGCAGATGATAAATCATGGGAATTGGAATTTCCTGATGAACACTTGTTGTGTGTTGAAACTGGAACTTGGAAATTGTACTTTGATGGATTAGCCAACAGAAACGGAGCCGGAGCTGGTATCGTGATAGAGGCACCTAATGGTGATGTCACAACAATGTGTAAAAGATTGTTGTTTCCGGTCACCAACAATATGGCCGAATATGAAGCGTGTATCATGGGAATAGAGGCTCTTCTTGCATCAGGTGCTAAGGAAGTTGAGGTAATAGGAGATTCGTTGTTGGTTATCGAACATGCTAACGAGAGATGGAAAGTGGAAGAAGAAAGGTTGAAGCCCTATCTTGAGTACTTGTTGAAGAAGGCAGCACTCTTTGATAAGATCACCTTCACTCACATAGGAAGAATCTATAACAGAATTCCCGATGCCTTGGCAAACTTAGCATCAGCTTGGCAGGATTTAAGTAAAGTTCCAAAGAAGCCATTTATCATTATTGCGGCAAATATCCCGTGCTTTATCATTATTGCGGCAAATATCCCGTGCTACGAAGAACATTTTGTGAATCAGGTGGAGTCAGAGGAAGAACCCTGGTTTACGGATATCCTCTGGTACATGAAAGACGGAACCTTTTCTGATGATGCGACAAAGGAAGACCGTTCAGTTCTTAGAAAAATGGCTTTGAGTTATATCCTGGCCGATGGTGAGTTGTATAGGAGAGCTTGGGACGAAATGCTGCTAAGATGCGTAGGTAAAAAGGAAGGGGAAGAAATAATGAAGAAATCCATGAGGGCGTCTGCGGTACTCATTTGAGCGGCATGAGCTTAGCTAGAAAATTCATGAGACAGGGTTATTTTTGGATGCAGATGGAAGGTGACTGTGTTAATTATGTACGTCATTATAAAGCCTGTCAATACCATGATAATAAAAGCCATTTGCCTGCTTTTGCCTGCTGTTGAACTCCATTCGGACAGCTGCCTTCTTGGCCTTTTCTTCCCGCATGGGGTATAGATATTATCGGCAAGATCACACCAGCAGCAATCGAACGGGTCACAGTATTCTTTGAGTTACAGTGACTACTTTTCTAGGAGGATCGAGGCTCAATCCTACAAAATTTGACCGCCCAAAACATGTGGCTAATTCATTGAACGAACATTTTCGTCGCTATGGTGTTTCCCCATCACATTAGTTACAGACAATGGTTCTCTATTTTTTCCAAGCAGATGTTGGTCAGTTGCTAATATAGGTATTAAGGATTGAGCATCACCATTCTTCTCCTTATCGCCCTCAAGCTAAATGCTACATAGAAGCGCGAATAAGGAGATTAAAAGAATCCTATCCAAGAATGTTGCGGAAAAAGTATAGAAGCTGGGCCATGAAGAAGAAACTTCCTTTCGCACTCTGGGGCAATCGCACTTACCCTTCAAATCAGTGAATGGAGCTTCTCCCTGGAACTGGTATATGGGGATGGAGGCAGTGTTACCTGTAGAGCTCGAAAAGAAGTTCTCTCAGAAGTTCTTGTAGAGAAGCAGTTTGACCGAGAAAGAATGGGTCAAAAAAGGTACGAAAGATCTGACAGCTTTTAGATGAGAGAAGATGAATGCTTACGATTTCCAGGATCAGATGAAAAGAGAAGGATTATCGCTTTCTAAAACAAATGGCGTACATCCAAGGGCTTTAAAGAAATGGAGATTAGTATTGATCAGATTGTGGACCATGAAACCCAGAATTCATCCTGGTGGAAACATTCAAACCAACTGGCATGGACCATTTAGAATTCAGCAAAGCCATAGCTAAAGGTGCCGCTGAATTAATCACCATGGAAGGGAAGCCTGTCAATCGGATTGTCAATCAGGACCAAATGGAAAAGATTCTATTTTTGAAATGATGATTTCGATTTAAAAAAAGAAAAAAAAAAAGCTAGGTCGAAAACCAAAGGGCGGCTTAGGCAAGAAGAAAATGAGCTCGCTAGGTTGAAAACCTGCAAAGGGCGGCCTAGGCAAAAGTTAGAGCATAATAAAACAATAATTAAAAAATAATATAATAAAACATTACAATTGGCGGGATTAATGCGTGGTGGTGCAGTTTAAAATGCGAAATCTATCCCATGCATTCGTGACAAATTTGTGATTGGTTGCTTCAATGTCATCAACTTGACTTACGAAGGAGAATAAAGTAAATGAATATTTAGAAAAAAATGACCATTGTATTAAAATAAGTTTTCTATTTCTGTATAATGTTTGAAAAGAAGTAAAGATTTAATAAAGGCTGAATTTTCAAGAAAATTTTGATTCCTTTTGTTCGGGGGCACATTGATTAAAAAGAATGCAAGACCTTCCTTCTCTGCTTATCTGATCAAGATGACTCATCTATTTCGAAAATGTTCTGGCTTGTTGGTCTGGTCCTGCCTAAATGATGAATTCTTTTAAAACATTGATCAGGAGAACAAATACCATTTTCTCAGTGATTTCCTTAGAAAGATCGATAAAAAACCATGCATAAAACCCTAGTACTCAGTAGATTCATGCATACATAAAGAAGCTACATATGTTGTTTTTGTTTGATCAATGCTGGTAATAAAATAGTCACCCCATCTTTCTTTTTACTTTCAAATGTAAGCCTCTGTCTTTGAAACAAATAATTCATTTTTATGAGCTTTCATTGCCCAAGGGCAGGAGGCCCAAATGACTAACACAACAAATAATTTCGAAGGAAAAGATTTGTTGTCTCTTGTTGTCCATGTGTGCAAAAAGCAGAAATTAATAAAGACAAAGCCATCAAGCCATCGGAGTCATTCACTGAAAAAAAAAGAGAGAAGGACACATTAACTAGGAGCTCATGGCCCAGGAATACAAGGAACTGAAAGAAGAAAAAAAAAGCAACAACAGCATTTATTCTAGTAGAGGTTGCCATCAGACGCCAATCTTCGCAGAACCTAGCATCATCATTGGGGGTAAAACCAGTCGACGTACTCGGGTGTCACAGTGTCCTGCATCACCCCTTGACCTAGGTACCAGGTGTTTCGGTTTCGCCAGTGGTCAGCCAAATTAGTCAACAGACTCTGTGTCATGGGACCACTCTCGAAGTCATGGATTCTTGGAACGCGTTGTATCATACCGTACTGACGGCTGATCCTATCTGGGAAATGGCCATGGAACGTCTAAGAAACTGGCGTATATAAACACGTAGTTGAGTTCCATGCCTTCAACCAGTGACCAGTCTGATCCTTCCACCAAGGACAAGTCCACCGAATTTTCACAGGGTATCCCCAAAATCGAAGTGTCCTCGGGATCGAGACCGAAAGTGGCAGGGCCATAGTATGGAATCAAACGAGCTGGGACCGGAGGAATCAGGCTTAACTTGTCTAAAGCCCCAGGCTTGCAACAACATCGGACAACCACGATGGTGAACATTTAAAGTTGGTGACATTTTGAAGGCAATATCCCTGACCCAACACATTGTTTCTCCCATGATCACCATGAAAACAGTACGATGGTACAATTGCATGTCACGAACGACTGTCAAAAGTCAGAAATCTCCAATTCCGGGTTGATGGTTTTTCATGACATACACATTCAGCAACAAGAAGCAGCAAGCTCAAATCCAAGAAGGATCCAGATCCATGGTCAGAACCTTGTTAAGAAAAGGTTCTAAAGGTAAACCCTGATCTGCGTTTATACCACCGGGAAGGTAAACCGGACACAAGGCCGTAATCTCAATTGGATCATGTCTAGGACTCGGCGGCAGGGCCGGAGTTTCATTTTGTTCAGGATGGTGGTCCATCACAACACATAGCTCCTCATAGGTCGGAGTTATTTCAGCGTCTTCAAATCGGAAAACCATTGGTGTTGGGGTTGAAGTACGTGACGAGCCAAGACAAGAAACTATGATCAGGCTTCAAGTCTTTGAAATATTTCAGCCAGAAATATTTTCAGCCAGGCGGAGTTTGGTTCATGGGGGAATCTGCCATAGGTCGTCAGGGAAAATGGATTGACATGGGGGGAATCTGCCATAGGTCGTCAGGAATGGATTGGACGAAGGACGAAACTTGGTTTCTGAAAGCCATGAAAAAGGATTATTCAAGCGATGGAGTTGTTTTGAATGCTGGGAATGAAGAAGATGCAGAGGAAAGCCTCTAATTATAGAAGTGGAAATGGGTCAGTGAACGAGATGTTGTCATCATAGTATTTACTGTCGATGATGGTTGGATGAACATTTATGCATAGATCGCTCCGGTAGGTGGACATTTATGCATGCGTTAATAAGATGGCCAGCTTTTGCAGTAGGGAGGTTGAGCCTTTATGATCGCATTAACCAAGAAGGGGTGGATGGGCATTAACGCTCGCATTAATCAAGCAGATCGCTTTGGTAGTTGGTTGAGCTTTAATAAAATGGCCAGCTTTCACAGTAGGGTGGTTGAGCATTTATGTTCCCATTAACCAAGTGGACCGCCCTGTCAGGTAAGTATTGCGATCCATTTCTTGTTGCTGGTTGATTCTTATCTTATCTTATTTTTCTTATTTTGTTTTTATTTTATTTTATTTCCTTATTTACAATAAATTGGTTGGTTGAGCACTAACAAGGCGGACCACTTTTGTATGTAAGTGGAATGCTTTTATTTTTAGCATTTTTGTGTGTTTGCGTTTTTCTTATGCAGGAATAAAGTCTCACACAGTGTAAGTAATAAACTTGTAAATAATACTGTAATAAAAGCAAAAATATTGTAATAAAGAAAATGTAAATAATATGGCAAAATTAATGTAAAACACTAAAAATATGTTCCTATAAACTACAAAAATGTCCCCAAAAGGCGGTCAGAGCAGAGAAGGCCGGCTAACGACGCCTCCGGCTGGGACCAGCTGCTGCCTGAGCGGGTGGAGATGGTGGTGCATCATCAGACGAGGAACCATCATCATCATCCTCCTCATCATCGGAGAAATCCAATGGAATCCCCTCTACCTCCAGCGTAGTCCGGAGTTGATCCACCTCCATCTGGAGTCAGGCAACAGTGCCGGACTGGCCAGACTGGTGCCTCCGCAGTCTCCCAATCTCCAGATCCTGTAAAAGCAGAAAGATGTAAGAAGGGTATGTAAAGAAAAAAAAGAAGAAGAAAGGTAAAAGTATATGGGACTCATACCCTCTCATGGCGCTCAGAGTAGAGTCGGGCAATGTAAGACCGGGCAAACCCAAACATCCGGTACAACTCCTGGTATCTCTGAGCAGGCACCTACAAGCACAGAAAGATATTCAAATAAAAAGTCATTCAGGTAAAATATTTTTTACTTAGTGAATTCAGTTTACTACTTACGTGTCTGGCATGCTTAGGATCCAGCTGCAGCGGTGGAGGAGTCTGCCTGAGGTCAGCAGGGATGATGATGGCCGACCCGAGGCCCAAAGCAGGGTCCAACGCCACCTCCATACCCAGTGGGAAAGGGACATCACCCAGTACAACCCCTGCAGGTTCAGCCGGAGCAGCCGCCTCCGCCTCCGCCTCTGACTGTGCCCTGTAGTAGGCAGGCGTCCGGTGCTTCTTCCTATCCTGCAACAAGTCAAAGATAAATGCATTTAGTAGCTTGGCCAAACAGTTGAAGAAGAAATCATAATTGAAGATAAAAGAGTTACCTGGACGTACTCCCGAACCTCTGGCAGCCTGGCCTGCAGACCGGTAGAGAAGTATGCAGCATAATCACCAGCCGATAGAGGGATATCAGTAGGAGAGCCAATATACTCGTCCTCCCGATCCTTCGGCGTTATACCCTCTAGCAAGCACATGTGACGAGGAGGAGCATGGGACACTCACCTCTGTGCCGTGG